ATCAACTAAAAGGTTTATTTGTGTTTCATCGATTTCGAGAAAGCATTTGACAAGGTGAGGATACTTGTACAGATACAACAAGAAACCGATAATTTGGGGTGTGTCAGATATTCATATTATTGGTGACTGGTGAGTATGGTACTAYATATACTTATAAAATATTATTATGTTAAATAACATGTATCAAATTATTTTTGGATTTATTAAATTTGTCAAAAAAGATCAATACAAAAAAATGGAAGGAAACACCTGTTTGTAAAATGCATTCCACCAAAAACACGGCTCAGGAATTTGAATATGGAACAAAAAGAATTAAAACCTTATTGTAGTTTTTTAACTAAAGGTACATAGTAGATACATTACGCAATAATGCTATTATAGTTATTTTTAAATATTATAACAAAACATGTTATTATATACTTCTTTATATGAAATAAATAATAAAAATCTTAAGTCATACATATTATTTATTATACTTAATTGATCAAATAAGAATAATTATTTTTATATTACACAATTAAAAAAGAAGATACCTAATMTATATTGATATGTAAATTAATTAAATTAACTGATAACCTTGACAATATAGTAGTTACATATATACTATAGGTACATACWMCATATCATAATATTGCGCTRCTGCAGTCGAGAGTGTGTATAATGTTGGTTATATACTTATGCAGATAAGTACAGATATACACGTGGGCAGGCTTTAAAACCAGTGGTACCTATATATTATCATTGCCAATTCATCGGCCCTTTGATCAACAATTTTGAAATGTAAGTAGGTACTTACATTTTTTTAGTTATAACTTATAACATTATAAATAACGTTTTTTGAAGCTCTGTTATCACTTATATTATTACACAATATATTAAACTACAAAGTGTACATAGTGAATCATGAAATATATGAGTAATATGATTGGGCATATGGTGTTTAGGCCCATAAAAATTCACAGGACGAACCTCAGCACGACCGACTCGCACTCCAATGAGTACAGTAAGTAGATATGTGACAAAAAGTTTTATATACCTATAGGCTATATTATAGGTATACAGATGCAAAGGCCAAAGATGCAGTGATCATTCATCGAGAAATATTAAATTACATATTTTATAATTTGTTACAGAAATTTTAACGAAATCGATTTGAGACTTTAATTTTTACATGCAAATGCATACCTACTTTGGCACTTAAAAATTGATCGTTAGACTTCATTGAAATTCATCTAAGAGTTATAAACACTTTTTTTATGAAAAACACATAATTTCTAAATCATGAGTTAATATTCGTGTTTACCTATATTTGTCATCTGTGATATAATCATACTCATGATCTCATAAATCTAAACATATATGAGTACCTATCTACGACCTATAGATTCCTGTAAATTACGCAAGAATAATTGAAACAAACACATTAGTCCATCTATAAATGATATGATTATTATTGTGTTTTTTAAATTTGTATTTGTGTAATGTGTTGTTTTATTTAAACTTGGCTCAGTGTTCAAGGTAAGATTATTATAATAGGCCTGGTTTTGATTCACCTGTGTATATCAACTGTAGTGGTGGCATATTGTATAAACTTATAAAAAATTAGACTAGGCATCAAAATATTTTCAACCTCGGTTTTTACAAGCTTTGAAGGCTCTAAAACTTGGAAATAATAATCGGGTCAATAATACAGTACTATTTAACGGCCTTGATTGTCATCTCATCCCACAAACACAATGAATTATGAATTTACAGCTGGGCTTATTCTATGCAATAGAATATATATATATATCTACAAAACGATTATATTCAATTTTATATTCCTAAGATACTCATGCTGAAATCGATCAGTAATAATTAATCATTCGTGACCATGAATCACCACAATAGAACCTTATACATTATATACAATATCGTTAATGCGGTTTGATTTTTGTGTATTTTTTTTTTATGTAGGCCGCAACTATATCAATCTGTACAATCGTCTCCTGCAGAGATGGTTGACTATTATATTTTGAACTTTCTATACAGCTATCAAAGTTTTGTATTACCACCAGTATATGCACCTTCTACAGTCACTTTAAATTTAAACTGTATTTACTGACGATGACTATAAACAATTTAAATAAATTACTTTTCTTTAAAATGAAATAATCATAAGGATTTAATATATAACATAAACACCACAAGTCATGCATTTATGAAACTCATTCAATGCCAAAGCAATAGTTGTTAATACGTAATATAATGGGAATACCCTCTCCAGAACAGGCAGAACACAACACGCCTCTCTATAGAGGTGTATAAAAACAGCTATCATCGCATGTTTTAGAGTTTTTATTGAACAAGTCTCCGAGGATAATCATACCAGATTTACGTGTAAACATGGCTGACATAGCATATTCAAGTGTGGACAACGAAGTATCCGAAATTCTGAATAAGTGTTTCGTTACCAGTTTTCGAAATGGATAYATTAAAGCTAATGATGTCGTGTTGCCCGTGTACTTCAAGAAGTTTGGACAACGCATACAGGATATGGACATCAGAGACGATGACATTTGGGTCTGCAGTTACCCAAAAACAGGTTTCAATTTATTTAAATATCCAGCTAAAAACGTATTACCTATATAGTTGAAAAATATCGAACAAGACTTTTTATGAAAAATTTCATTGACATCACATTCCGTACAGTTTAAAAATCATTGTCAAAATGTAAACATATTATTAAGATATTGAAAAAGAAATAATATTTTCAGAAATATTCTTCAGTATGTAGGTACTAAGT